TCCAAACCACACTTTAACTGGATCAGAATATGGAAAAATACGACCTTGGCATCCTGTAATCCGAACCACCAATTTATACATTTTAAGTTTGTTCACAGACTGTATTTAATAGCAAATAAACTTTTTACGATGAAATTGCCCCCCCATCTCCCAACTGTTAACTGTGCCCCTTAAATCAGGTTTGCACATTCCTTCATATGATGTGGGAGTGCCCTGCAGTTAAATGCTTCTGGGGCAAAGTAAAAAAGTAAAAAAATGCATTTCTTAGTGCATGAATTTAAATATTTAATGCTTTCCATCTATTATGTTACTTAACGATGATAGCCCCTTGAGTCTCTCAATCAATCAGAGAATATTACTGCTAGCAACCACCTCACTCTATTGCTGGCAACCACCTCACTAAGACGGCAACCACCACACTCTCTCCCATTAAACCAGTGGATACAGTTACTATTAGAAGTAACACTCTCTTTATTTGTTTTTATAGCTTACAGTTTATTCACCATTAGTCAGCACCTCTACACTAAATAATGTTCTCTGGGTGTGCACCAGCTCATGCTTTTTATTAGACTATTAGAAGTTATGACATTAGAATTATCAACAGCGAGAATGAATGGTGCTAGTCAAGGAACAATTGAAGCCTGGACAAATTTACTTGACTCTGTAAAGAACAATCTCAGCTAAAGCCCCACTAAAACAAACCAATTATATATATTTATTTAGACTTTTGTTACTTTCTTTGCATGGTTTCTGGGTGGGGAGGGAGGATGCGGGTGGGCGGGTTGATGTGGACTGAGGGGGGAAATGCGTTTGGGTTAACTTTGCATTTATTCGATTGTTTTTGTACCTGTAACCCCCCTCTGAAAAAGAAAAATGACAATACTGAATAAAAAGTTGGTCACAAAAAAAGAAAGTGTGTTTATCTGATTTAGCTACCGTTACTTTGGACCAAATCAAGACGTCAATATTTTAGTAAAGTTTTTTTGTATAAAGAAAATCTTAAATTGCAGCACAATTTGAGCAAATTATTAATTTGTAATTAATCGTGAATAATCACAGCGAAACCTGCGATTTACACGATTAATACAAAATAATAATTTGACAGCCCTAGTTGACCTTAAAATGTGAAAATACACACGTGAAAGTGTAGCGGACATGAGTCGGTTGCTCATGGTCACGTGATGAGGTAGCTCCATCTGCGACTTCAAAATTAGCGTTGGCTCTCTTGGTCGAATGGTCAAGATGTTGGCTTCTCCTGTGCGAGATCTGGGTTCTAATCCTGCCAGGTACAAAAGCACACATGGGAAACCAAGTGATTTCTTCATTGTTCTTTTTTTTGTAAGGGTATGTACTGTATGTGTGTGTAACCTTTTCCAAGACTTAAACAAAAGCGGCCCCAGACGTTTCCCCATGTCGCCACGCCAACGATAGCCTTGGCGCTTTCCACGCTGTGCCATTTAGTAAGTCACATCATCGATCATCTAAAGTGAGTAGCAGCCGCAATCTGCATCCTATCACGAGGGTGGGGGCTGAGGGTGGTGGGAGGTAGTGGAGGAGTTCAATAGGTGCAATTAGCCGTCCCCAAGAGCATTCCGGGAGTGACAGCCAATCAACAGACAAGAGGGAGATGGACTGAGCGAGACAACAAGAGAAGAACAAGTGAAAGAAGGATAGAGAGAGAGAGAGAGAGAGAGAGAGAGAGAGAGAGAGAGAGAGAGAGAGAGAGAGAACCATGGTCATTACTCTGCAGGATCATTATGCCCCATCCATCCCACGTCTGCCACGCCCCCCTCGCCCACGCTGTGGGCCTGCTAATTGGCCCAGTATACACTGTGCTGTTTGCTGAAGCACTGGAGCATCGGGCCACGCTGATGAAGGGCACTTTGGGGGAATGTGGTGAGCTCAACTCGGCTCTCTGTCGCGCCATGCATTCATAGAAAGGAGAGAGGGATGGTGAGCGGGTGGTCTCTGAAGGAAAGGAGGAAGGAGAGAGGGGAGAGAAGGATGAAGGATGAAGGATGAAGGATGGGGAATAGGGATGTTGAGGGGGTGGTGCATGGAAATGTGGAAGGAGAGAGGGGAGAGCCGAAAATCTTTTTGCCCTCGCTGGTGCTGCAGACGGATATATCCGTTAATACATGACTATTAAAGGCCCAGGAGATTATTCCATTTAATTAGATCTGCTTTCATATAGTTGAGTAATGGAATAAAGGTATCTTTATATATTTGCTGTTTGTTGTCACTTATTATGCATCCTAAGTATTTCATATAATTTGTGGTCCACTTAAAGGATTGCTATATTTTTCAGGAGGGTGCAGCAGCACCCTCAGCACCCCTACTTCCCGCGGCTATTGGGAAGAGGGATGGTGAGGGGTGGTGTCTTGAAGGAAAGAAGGAAGGAGAGAGGGGAGAGGGATGGGGGTGGTGTCTTGAAAGGAAGGAAAGGTACAGTAGAGGTGGGGGTGGTTAGGAGGGGGCGCTTGGGTGCCTTGGGGTTTGCCCAGAGCTGTAGACAAGAGCACACTTCTCATGAATGCTCCTAAGCGGCTTATAACCAGCTCAGATGGTGATTTTGTCATTGGATAATGAGCGACTAGAGTTTTGATCTGACACTGCATGGCTCTGATTTCCTGAGGGGTACTCGGAGGGGCATCCACTGCCTTCAGGCCTCATTATTTTGCTGTTTGTCATTTCGTTGTATTAAAAGTCTCACTCAGTAAACCTCCAGTCAGCATTATGTCTGTTACTATGTCTCATTCCAAATGATATCTCTGCAATCACATTGTTTGGAGTGGGTGGTCCAGTGAGAAACATGTTTTGTAAAGAATAAAATAAAATGTCGGAACTTAAGCAGGAATACGATCTTTTACTTCAGGTTAAACTCAAATAAAGCATACTAGTTAATGACAAACAAACCTGGTAAATATCTTGCAGCTCTCACAAAACCGATGCATGCTAAACCAGTTATAATTTATAAAGATTGCTATGAAAATGTATATAAATTAAACAGTGGTACGGATCCTATAGCCTTCTTAGACTCAACAACTCTGAAGCAACTATCAGAAGACAAAAAATAAGAATGATAAAACAGAGATCACCCAAGAAGAAATAGTAGACACTGTTAAAACATTTGCATGAAAAAAAGCACCAGGAATGGACGGCTTTCCCATAGAACTCTATTCAACACTTTGGGACAAATTAGCCTCCCTAATTACACACATCACTTAACTCAATACATCGTAGTTTCATGTATCAAACAGTTATTCCAGTTGAAGTGCATTCGGAAAGTATTCAGACCCCTTGACTCTTTCCACATTTTGTTACATTACAGCCTTATTCTGAAATGGATCAAATAGTTTTTTACCCCGCCTCAATCTACACACAATGCCCCATAATGACAAAGAAAAAAACGGTTTTTAGAAATTTTTGCAAATGTATTAAAAATAAAAACAGAAATATTTCATTTACATAAGTATTCAGAACCTTTACTCAGGACCTTGTTGAAGTAACTTTGGCAGTGATTACAGCCTTGAGTCTTCTTGGGTATGACGCTACAAGCTTGGCACACCAGTATTTGAGGAGTTTCTCCCATCCTTCAATTGGCTTGATGATTATTTTCTCATCACTCATCTTGAAAGAAAGTATACAAAAACCTTGGATGTCAATCAATCTGCCATCATTGACACAATGGAAAAATCTAATGATTTATTATTAAAATATTGAAATAGCATGGGCGACCGAGAAAAACAAATTGGTACAATTTAAGGCCAAGTGGCAAACAATAATGCAGGCAGTAGGGATGGGGTGTGAGCATGCTGGTCTGGGCAGATGAGATGTAGTCATTGTTTGTGCGTGTCTGTAAGTTGTTGTTCGTATAAGTTTATTTTTGGAATGTACATTTTTTTTAAATAAGGAGAAAAATAGATGATACATATATATTATTATTTTCTTTTAGCGTTTTGTGCAAGCGGTAACTTTCCCTTAATGTTGCCTATTCTGCACATACTGTTTTTGCCTAAACTTTTATAAAACCTCTGGACTTTACTCACAGATATCCTTGTTAAAATTCTAATGACCGTTCGACAAGAACTGAACCGATGTTAGCTTAGATGCCTTACAAGGAGCCCAACTAAAAAGTTGTATTATACAAGATTACTCTGCATGTTGAGCAGTTTGAATACTTACTGCTGAGAACAGCAATTTAGCAGCAAAGTTGAGGGCCCTGGTTAAGGATGCAGTGGTGGTAGAGAGAGAGAGAAAGAGAGAGAGAGAGAGAGAGAGAGAGGTCTGGTCTATTCCAATCTGATGGATGTCTTCCTCACCTGGCAGTAGAGAGGCAGTATATAGGGCTGACTCAGGACCTGCCACTGGAGAAGACTCATTGAATATCAAGAGCAGCCGTCCTTTAGATCCAACGGCCGCGAGAAAGTTTATTTGAAGGAGAAACTTGTTTCATATAACTTCTACTCAATTGAAGTGGATTTTTTTCCCTCAAGCGTTTAGCTGTTTATACCACTCTACTGTCCTGTACATTTCAAGAATAACTTTTCAGCCATTGATTTTTGTCTCTTGTCAAAAGAAGAGGGAGTTCTAATATTTTCAAAAGTCTAAATGTACCTACAGTGTACTTGATGAAGACTGATGAAGACCAAAACTACTTCATATATTTTAAGGAAGATCGGGAAACACAGTATTTCTGTTGTCATTGGCAATGATTCATAAGCAACTTATTAAAACATTTGGCCAACAAGTCTACAAATCAAAGTGAATGCTAGCAACTAGTTGGCTAAGTATTCCCCACCAAACTATAGATAAACAGCTCCAGGTTTTGCTAAAGACTAGCGAGCTCCTTAACCAGAATCAACCTTGAAAGAGCTGATGTCACTTGCAAGAGATAAGAGACATACATTATATCCTGTAGGTAGCCCTTTAAATAATTCCTGAGAGCATATAGACACACACTATAGGAGAGCCATATTAACCCATGAAATAAAATAAATATGCAGGAGGCTGGTAATGGGGCCCCCATTTGTGTTGGTCTACTCAGCATTCAACAAGAGAAAGATGTACTCTCCTTCTGTATCAACCAAAAATCTATAACCCAGCCACAATTGGTTCATAAATGTGATCAGAGGTCGAATGAATCACACACACACACACACACAAGCGTATGCACGTACACACGCACACACACACACAAACACAAAAAAGCATACGCACATACACACATAGAACCCCCCCACACACACCCACGTACATTATTGATGTGCTGGGCTTATCAAACTGAAATAGAGAAATGGGAATGTGAATTAATAATAAAGGGGTGTACTGGCTGTAAGCTCTCTGGAGAGGGTAGAGGGGGATAGCAATACCAGAGTGATGGAGGCAACAGCCAGGCTGGTGAGCAGAGGAATGTAGACCTCCGCTCTGACAGCCGGTCCCAATTCACTCCCTATCCTTCTCCCCCTCGGTCTTAACCCTTTTGATTTGGGCAGATCTATAGTGATCTATACTGTAGATTTTGATGATAAAGGTCTTGCCCCCCCCCCCCCCCCCCCCCCCCACACACACACACACACACAAACCCTTCAAATTCACTCTCTCTCTTTTTTCTCTCCACCACCCTCTCCCCCTCCCTCTATCCCTCTACCCCCCTCCTTTGTGTCTAAATCGGTTCTGCTCTGGCAGTCTCTCTTCTTTAATCCTATCTGTAGAGGTCCTGCAGCATGGAGCGATGTATGCTAATGTAGCCTGGCTGCTAAAATGGAAATTACACCGGAGCTCTTGGAGCCACCAAACTGACAATACCATCAGAAAATACATTGTGTTATTATTACACATTAAGTTGGGGAAAAATGTAATATATAAAATGTTGTCAAATTTGATCAACAATGAATGATACACCAAGGGGCTACAACTACCTTTATGATAAGGCCTTTTATCCGTTGTCTGAGAATAAGTCTTAGACATCAGAGAGAGAGAGGGAGAGAGAGAGAGTGTGTGTGTGTGATTGATATCTGAATAATTTATTTACAAAACGCTATGTCCACACCAAAGAATTCCACATTTGTGTTTTTTAAGCATAAATGATTGCTTATGGTTACTTCTTGTGCACCGGAGTGCCAAGTCTGGGTCCAAAAGGCTTCTTAACAGCTTCTACCCCCCAAGCCATAAGGCTGCTGAACAGCTAATCAAATAGCTACCCGGACTATATGCATTGACCACACCCCTTTTTTTTACGCTGCTGCTACTCGCTGTTTATTATCTATTATCTATGCATAGGCACTTTACCCCTACCTACATGTACATATTACCTCAATTACCTAGACTAACCTGTACCCCCGCACATTGACACCCCCCGGTACATACAGTGCATTCAGAAAGTATTCAGACCCCTGACTTTTTCCACATTTTGTAAAGTTAAAGCCTTATTCTAAAATTGATTAAACTGTTTTTTTCCCTCATCAATCTACACAAAATACTCCATATTGACAAAGCAAAACAGGTTTTTAGACATTTTTGCAAATGTATTACAAATAAAAAACAGAAATATCACATTTAAATAAGTATTCAGACCCTTTGCTCAGTACTTTGTTGAAGCACCTTTGGCAGCGATTACAGCCTCGTGTCTTCTTGGGTATGATGCTACAAGCTTGGCACACCTGTATTTGGGGAGTTTCTCACATTCTTCTCTGCAGATCCTTTCAAGCTCTGTCAGGTTGGATGGGGAGCGTCGCTGCACAGCTATTTTCAGGTCTCCCCAGAGATGTTCGATCGGGTTCAAGTCCAGGCTCTGGCTGGGCCACTCAAGGACATTCAGAGACTTTGTCCCGAAGCCACTCCTGCATTGTCTTGGCTGTGTGCTTAGGGTTGTTGTCCTGTTGGAAGGTGAACCTTTGCCCCAGTCTGAGGTCCCTAGCACTCTGGAGCAGGTTTTCGTCAAGGATCTCTCTGTACTTTGCTACATTTTTCTTTCCCTCGGTCCTGACTAGCCTCCCAGTCCATGCCGCTGAAAAACATCCCCACAGCATGACGCTACCACCACCATGCTTCACCGTAGGGATGGTGCCAGGTTTCCTCCAGACGTGATGCTTGGCATTCAGGCCAAAGAATTCAATATTGGTTTCATTAGACCAGAGAACCTTGTTCTGTCAGAGTGACCATCAGGTTCTTGGTCACCTCCCTGACCAAGGCCCTTCTCCCCCAATTGCTCAGTTTGGCCGGGCGGCCAGCCTAGGAAGAGTCTTGGTGGTTCTAAACTTCTTCCATTTAAGAATGATGGAGGCCACTGTGCTCTTGGGGACCTTCAATGCTGCAGAAATGTTTTGGTACCCTTCCCCAGATCTGTGCCTTGACACAATTCCTTTGACCTCATGGCTTGGTTTTTGCTCTGACATGCGCTGTCAACTGTGGGACCTTATATAGACAGGTGTGTGCCTTTCCAAATCATGTCCAATCAATTGAATTTACCACAGGTAGACTCCAGTAATGTTGTAGAAACATCTCAAGGATGAACAATGGAAACAGGATGCACCTGAGCTCAATTTCGAGTCTCATAGCAAATGGTCTGAATACTTATGTAAATAAGGTATTTCTGTTTTTTGTTTGTAATACATTCGCAAAAAAAATCTAAAAACCTGTTTTCGCTTCGTCATTATAGGGTATTGTGTGTAGATTGGTGAGGATTTTTATTTATTTAATCCATTTTAGAATAAGGCTGTAATGTAACAAAATGTGGAAAAAGTCAAGGGGTCTGAATACTTTCCAAGTGCGCTGTATAGCCTCGTCATTGTTATTTTATTGTTGCTCTTTTATTTTTTACGTTTGTTTATTTAGTAAATATTTTTCTTAACTGTTATTTTTCTTAAAACTGCATTGTTGGTAAAGGGCTTGTAAGTAAGCATTTCACGGTAAGGTCTACACCTGCTGTATTTGGCACATGTGACAAATAACATTTGATTTGATGTGTGTGTAAAATATCCCTGTTCTCAGATTTTAAATTCATAGATTTTAGGTGTGTATTAAAATGAGTTTTTTTGCAAAACGCTATACACTGAGTGTACAAAATATTAGGAACACCTTCCTAATATTGAGTTGCACCCCCTTTTGCCCTCAGAGGAGCGTAGATTCGTCGGGGCATGGACTCTACAAGCGTTCAACAGGGATGCTTCCCACAGTTGTGTCAAGTTGGCTGGATGTCCTTTGGGTGGTGGACCACTCTTGATACACACGGGAAACTGTTGAGCGTGAAAAACCCAGCTGCATTGCAGTTCTTGACACACTCAAACCGGTGCACCTGGCACATAGTACCATACCCCGTTCAAAGACATAATCTTTTGTCTTGCCCACACAATCCATGTCTCAATTGTCTCAAGGCTTAAAAATCCCTCTTTAACCTCTATGGGGCGGTTTCCCAAACAGTTTAGTTTAAATCAGGACTAGGCTAATTCTACTTAAATTAATCCAGATTTTAAAAACTGCTTTCTGAGACGTTGCTTAATTTCAGATTAATTAGTTCTAGACTAGGGAGTCCCAGACTAAGGTAAGTAAGGACTAACCAGTTAATCTTTGTGTAGCCTGGTTATATTGATGACGGGCACTTGATGCCGACCTGAGGATGCTTCAAAAATCAGGGATGGGACACTAATACATAAGCATTGTGTGGAATTGGAGCAAGTAACCTAAACCAAACAATGGACAGAGGTAAAAGAAAATGTTCAGTGACTTTAGAAAAACCCTCTTGAAGCGAATTGTGTAAAACCACCCAATTATTGAGAACGAACAGCATTATTCATCAACAGAAAACAAGAAAAATAATGCCTGGACTGCCATTGCAAAAAAATCTAAAAATCTAAAAACCCGTCGGAATCCAAGCTTCAAGATTGTTTTGATCACACGGACTGGGATATGTTCCGGGTAGCTTGCGAAAATAATTTAGACGAATACACTGAAATGGTGACTGAGTTTATCAGGAAGTGTATAGGAGATGTTGTGCCCACTGTGACTATTAAAACCTACCCTAACCAGAAACCGTGGATAGATGGCAGCATTCGCGCCAAACTGAAAGTGCAAAACACCGCATTTAACCATGGCAAGGTGACTGGGCATATGGCAGAATACAAACAGTGTAGCTACTCACTCCGCAAGGCAATTAAACTGGCAAAAAATCAGTATAGAGACAAAGTGGAGTCGCAATTCAACGGCTCAGACACAAGACGTATGTGGCATTGTCTACAAACAATCACAGACTATAAAAGGAAAGCCAGCCACGTCGCCGACACCGACGTCTCGCTTCCAGACAAGCTAAACACCTTCTTCGCCCGCTTTGAGGATAACACAGTGCCACCGACGCGGCCCACTACCAAGGACTGTGGGCTCTGCTTCTCCGTGGCCGACGTGAGTAAGACATTTAAGCATGTTAACCCCCGCAAGGCTGCCGGCCCAGACGGCATCCCTAGCCGCGTCCTCAGAGCATGCGCAGACCAGCTGGCTGGTGTGTTAACTGACATATTCAATCTCTCCCTATCCCAGTCTGCTGTTCCCACATGCTTCAAGATGGCCATCATTGTTCCTGTACCCAAGAAAGCAAAGGTAACTGAACTAAATGACTATCGCCCTGTAGCACTCACCTCTGTCATCATGAAGTGCTTTGAGAGACTAGTCAAGGATCATATCACCTCTACCTTACCTGTCACCCTAGACCCACTTCAATTTGCTTACCGCCCCAATAGATCCACAGACGATACAATCGCCATCACACTGCACACTACCCTATCCCATCTGGACAAGAGGAATACATATGTAAGAATGCTGTTCATTGACTATAGCTCAGCATTCAACACAATAGTACCCTCCAAGCTCATCATTAAGCTCGAGGCCCTGGGTCTGAACCCCGCCCTGTGCAACTGGGTCCTGGACTTCCTGACGGGCCGCCCCCAGGTGGTAAAGGTAGGAAACAACATTTCCACTTCGCTGATTGTCAACACTGGGGCCCCACAAGGGTGCGTGCTCAGCCCCCTCCTGTACTCCCTGTTCACTCATGACTGCGTGGCCAAGCTTGCCTCCAGCTCAATCGTCAAGTTTGCAGATGAAACAAAACACTAGTAAGCTTGATTACAAACAATGACGAGACAGTCTACAGGGAGGAGGTGAGGGCTCTGGGAGTGTGGTGCCAGGAAAATAACCCCTCACTCAACGTCAACAAACAAAGGAGATGATCGTGGACTTCAGGAAACAGCAGAGGGTGCACCCCCCTATCCACATCCACGGGACCGCAGTGGAAAAGGTGGATAGCTTCAAGTTCCTTGGTGTACACATCACTGACAAACTGAAATGGTCCATCCATGCAGACAGTGTGGTGAAGAAGGCTGAAGAAATTTGGCGTGGCACCTAAAACCCTCACAAACTTCTACAGATTCACAATTGAGAGCATACTGTCGGGCTGTATCACCGCCTGGTATGGCAACTGTACCGCACACAACCGCAGGGCTCTCCAGAGGGTGGTGTGGTCTGCCGAACGCATTACCGGGGGCAAACTACCCGCCCTCCAGGACACCTACAGCACCCGATGTCACAGGAAGGCCAAAAAGATCATCAAGGACATCAACCACCCGAGCCACTGCCCGTTCACCCCGCTATCATCCAGAAGGCGAGGTCAGTACAGGTGCATCAAATCTGGGACCGAGAGAATGAAAAACAGCTTCTATCTCAAGGCCATCAGACTGTTAAATAGCCATCACTAGCACATTAGAGGCTGCTGCTGCCTATTGAAATCACTGGCCACTTTAAGAAATGGAACACTAGTCACTTTAATAATGTTTACATATCTTGCATTTCTCATCTCATATGTATATACTGTATTCTATAATATTCTACTGTATCTTAGTCCATGCCGCTCTGTCATTGCTTGTCCATATATGTATATATTCTTAAATTCCATTCCTTACTTAGATTTGTGTGTATTGGGTATATGTTGTGAAATTGTTAGATATTACTTGTTAGATATTACTGCACTGTCAGAGCTAGAAGCACAAGCATTTCGCTACTCCCGCAATAACATCTGCTAAACACGTGTATGTGACAAATAACATTTGATTTGATTTGATTTGTAATGAATTCAAATCAAATGAAAAAGTGAACAAAAGCACGCCACAAATGTTTTATTGTTGGCCCACTTTTACGAATCAGAGTCATTTTGACATTTTTGTTTTCTTGTTTAACAACACAGTGGGGCCTAAATGTATTTGTATGACAGAAATGTAACACAAACAATATCATACATAATTACTAATATAATTTCTATAATGTCTTGTCTTTCTATGGTCTTGTGGAAAAACATAAAAATCGATTTATAGAAGACGAATGCTGTTGCTCGTAGGGAGCGTTTCAAGACTGGTAAGACCACAGACAGATGAGCTGGGGGACTTCTTGACCGGGATCATTGATAGCCAGCAACCCCTGGAAGGTATCCCTGATGATGACCATTTGGACAGTTCAGATGGGGGTGCTCGTAGGGAGCGTTTCAAGTTCAAGACTGGTAAGACCACAGACAGATGAGCTGGGGGACTTCTTGACCGGGATCATTGATAGCCAGCAACCCCTGGAAGGTATCCCTGATGATGACAATTTGGACAGTTCAGATGGGGGACCGTTCCAATCCTCATTTGGTAGGACACATTCATTCAACATGTGTCATCCCAGACTGCAGGGAATATGTAATGTTGTCAGTTATCCCTTGCACTCCCATAATAACAATTATGTAATGAACTCAACTCTTTAAGAAATAATGTTCGCTAATGAAGCTATGTAATCATTGTCTAGTGGCAGATGATCACCATAGCTGGAGGGGATGAAGGTCAGCACACTACATCTGCAGCAGCCAGGAGGGAAGATTGTGTCACTAACCAGGGCCGGAGGACAAAGACAAAGAGGCTGAGCATGCATGAGAAACTGGCCATGGAATTTCATGAGCGCAAGCTAATGTATTTAAAAGAAGAGCATGTTATGAAGATGCAAATCCTTCATGTTGAGTTGGCTATGGCATGAAGCAGCAGCAGACCAATGTTCTTCAATGTACCAATGTTCTTCTCGAACCAGCACCAGTTCGGGGTCCCGATATTTCCATTTGTTGAATGAAAACCCTTTTTGTTACCAATCCATGGCTATAGTTTATTTCAATCGCTTTGTTACAAGAGGTGCTGGATAGGAAATGCATCTCTTCCATTTCTGTCATGGTCTGCCTCAACCATGGGAACATCTGGGTCATCCTCATCTTCAATGCGAGGATCTGGGCAGCCATGCTGTTTGAGGTAATTGTGAAGCACTGCTGTTGCAATTATGACAATGCAGCATCTTCTTGGTTGAAGGCGTAATGTGTTTCTGAGACACTGGAAATTACTATTCCATATACCAAACATGCGCTCCACTACACCTATGGTGTGGATATGAGCTTGGTAGTACCGTTGTTGCTCAGGTCCTATTGCATGAAGATATGGGGTGAACAAGAAGTTGGTCTGTGCATACCCACTGTCACCAAGTTTGATTCCACTATGTTGTCCTCCTTTTCAATTATCCTTGAGTCATGAGTGTTGGAGAACTGCAAATTGGGAGTGCACACACTTTGTACATTTATTGAGAACCAGTTTTTAAGATTCCTGTACTCCTCAGCATCTGCTGTAGAGGGACACTTGATGGGAATATGACATCCATCTGTACAGCCAATGACTCCAGGGAAGTTCCCATATTCATAGAACTATACCTTGTAGTTGGCTTGGGCAGCAGCATCAGGGAACTTCATGTAATTGTCTTTCAGTTCATATATAGCATTGCGGACTATTCTGCATACAGTCGGTTCACTTACACCACACAAATCTCCTGTTTCACGATGGAAGGTTCCAGATGCCAAAAACCTCAAGGTGAGCAGTACTTATAGGGCAGGAGGGATGGGCCTTCCCAAAGAGAGTCAGATGAAAGCCTTGGCTGAAAAACAAATGTCAGCTGCATTTTCTTTGTACATACGGAAACAGTCACGGAAATTGATTTAATCAAAATCGTTCAGTGGGTTGATCTGGTCTATAACCGCCCTTCTGTCTGACCTTGGTGGTGCTCTTTGATCATCATTGAAATAGTCCAGGTAATCAGTTTTCCTCCATTGGCAAGGTCAACCTGGGGGCCAACATCCATTAATCTGAAGTTAAACCTGCCTCTGCCAGGTTTAATTTAAGCCTTCACTTATATCTAGATTAACTCTAATCATCCTTCTGGAAATCAGACTTTTTAATCTAGACTAGTGCAAGTCTGAGACTATTTTAAACCATGTCTGAAAAATGCAATTTCAGTTAGTCCAGTTAAAAAGTGCAATTTAGTCTAGGATTAGGCTTACTCTGTGTCCGCGATTGAGCCTACTAAAATAACATATGGAATTGTTTGAAATGGTCAAACCATGGATCATTTAGCTATATGATTTAGAATTTTAGGACCCTTTAGGTATAAAACAATATGAAAATGTTTTTGATAAAATATTGAATTTAGCCTTTACAACTAGAGCCCATAGAAACGCATTGAATAAGTCATTCATAAATGGCAAAAAAAAACAGTCCAAATATAGATCATAAGGAATAAGGTATTGAAGTGTCTGTCCTATATCTAGGAGATATAAGAAAGCTCGGGATTGAGATGCAGCCCATGCAAAAAAACGGATATCTCTAGCTTAAACTGACAGATCTGGATGGGGATTTTGTTTATTATGTTAGATTGACGCATGTGTCCACCAATAGACTCTGTCTCCTCGCCTTCATCTACACTGATTGAAGTGACATCAATAAGGGATCATAGCTTTCACCTGGATTCACCTGGTCAGTCTATGTCATGGAAAGAGTTCCTAATGTTTTGTACACTCAGTGTATATCAATTATTTAGCTGGAATGGAATGTTCATATACAGTTTATTAGGTACACCACCCCATTCACGAAAGTGGATCGCTCCTACAGACAGTGAGTCACTAGGCCATGGCTCACAATGTAAAGCAGGCAGACAGGCATTGAAGCATTCCGTTACTGTTTGATTGAACGTTAGACTGGGAAAAACGAGTGACCTAAGCAACTTTGAGCATGGTATGATCGTCAGTGCCAGGTACGCCGGATCCAGTTTCTCAGAAACGGCCTCCCCACTGGGCTTTTCACGCACGACAGTGTCTAGGGTTTCCCGAGAATGCTGTGACAAAAAACATAGAGTCAGCAGCAGTCCTGTGGGCGAAAACAGCTCGTGGATGAGAGGTTAAAGGAGAATGGCAAGAATTGTGTATGCTAACAGGCAAATAACAGCGCAGTACAACAGTGGTGTGCAGAACGGCATTTCGGAACGCACAACTCGTCGGTCCTTGTCAGCAGACGGCCACACTGGGTTCCACTACTATCAGCTAAAAACAAGAAGAAGCGGCTCCAGTGGGCATGCGATAACAAACACTGGACAACTGAGGAGTGGAAAAACATTGCCTGGTCTGACGAATCCTGGTTCCTGTTGCGTCATGCTGATGGCTGAGTCAGGACTTGGCATAAGCAGCATGAGTCCATGGCCCCATCCTGCCTGGTGTCAACGGTACAGGCTGGTGGCGGTGGTGTCATGAGGTGGGGAATGTTTTCCTGGCACATGTTTGGTCCCATTTCCATGCCCCAAAGAATTCAGGCTGTTCTGGAGGCAAAGGGGGATCCTACCCGGTACTAGATGGGGGTACCTACAGATGTAGGATCTTAATTTGAGTCAGTTTGCTACAGCAGGAAGATAGTCATGCAGCAACAGGAAATATGAATTATTATGTGGGTTATAGTTAATGGACATTTTTTAGTGGTTAATACATTTTTCGCTAGGGCAAATCAAGTCTGACATTTCAAAGTGAAAATTACAAACTTTAGAAGCCTTTTTAAACTTTGACTGCACTACAGTCGAAGGTTAAAAACCTGGAGAATAAACCCTCCTCCTCACAGCTGCCCATGTCCCTTAATGTTGATGATGTGGTTGTTACTGACAAGGACGGCATGGCTGAGCTCTTTAATCACCACTTCATCAAGTCAAGATTTATATTTGACTCAGCCATGCATCCTTGCCCATCCAACTTTTCCTCATCTCCCAGCCCTTCTAATGCGACTGGCTACGATGCTCCTCCCTCTTTTTCCCCGGTCCCACTACAAAGTTTCTCCCTGCAGGCGGTCACTGAGTCTGAGGTGCTAAAGCAGCTCCTTAAACTTGACCCCCAAAAAACATCTGGGTCAGATGGTTTAGATCCTTTCTTCTTTAAGGTTGCAGCCCCTATCATCGCCAAGCCTATCTCTGACCTTTTTAACCTGTCTCTCCTCTCTGGGGAGGTTCCCATTGCTTGGAAGGCAGCCACGGTGTGTCCTTTATTTAAAGGGGGAGATCAAGCTGATCCTAACTGTTATAGGCCAATTTCTATTTTTCCCTATTTATCAAAAGTGTTGGAAAAACGTGTCAATAATCAACTGAATGGCTTTCTTGATGTCTATAGTATTCTCTCTGATATGCAATCTGGTTTCCGCTCAGGTTACGGACGTGTCACTGCAACCTTAAAGGTCCTAAATGATGTCACCATTGCCCTTGATTCTAAGCAATGTTGTGCTGCTATTTTTATTGACTTGGCCAAAGCTTTTGATACTGTAGATCATTCCATTCTTGTGGGCCGGCTAAGGAGTATTGGTGTCTCTGAGGGGTCTTTGGCCTGGTTTGCTAACTACCTCTCTCAGTGCAGTGCAGTGTATAAAGTCAGAACTTCTGCTGTCTCAGCCACGTCATGTCACCAAGGGAGTACCCCAAGGCTTGATCGTAGGCCCCACGCTCTTCTCAATTTACATCAACAATATAGCTCAGGCAGTAGGAAGCTCTCTCATCCATTTATATGCAGATGATACAGTCTTATACTCAGCTGGCCCCTCCCCGGATTTTGTGTTAAACGCTCTACAACTAAGCTTTCTGAGTATCCAACAAGCTTTCTCTGCCATTAACCTTGTTCTGAACACCTCCAAAACAAAGGTAATGTGGTTTGGTAAGAAGGGTTTAGAGCTTGTGGTAGTCACCTCATACAAGTGCTTGGGAATATGGCTAGACAGTACACAGTTTTTCTCTCAGCACATATCAAAGCTGCAGGCTAAGGTTAAATCTAGACTTGGTTTCCTCTATCGTAATCGCTCCCCTTTCACCCCAGCTGCCAAACGAACTCTGATTCAGATGACCATCCTACCCATGCTGGATTCGGAGACATCATTTATAGATCGGCAGGTACGGGTGCTCTCAAGCGTATAGATGTTCTTTACCATTCGCCCATCAGATTTGCCACCAATGCTCCTTATAGGGCACATCACTGCACTCTATACTCATCTGTAAACTGGTCATCTCTGTATACCTGTCGCAAGACCCACTGGTCGATGTTTATTTATAAAACCCTCTTAGGCCTCACTTCCTCCTATCTGAGAAACCTACAGCAGCCCTCATCCTCCACATACAACACCCGTTCTGCCAGTCACATTCTGTTAAAGGTCCCCAAAGCACACACATCCCTGGGTGGCTCCTCTTTTCAGTTTGCTGCAGCTAGTGACTGGAACGAGTTGCAAAAAACAATCAAACTGAACAGTTTTATCTCCATCTCTTCATTCAAAGACTCAATCATAGACACTCTTACTGACACTTGTGGCAGCTTCGCGTGATGTATTGTTGTCTCTACCTTCTTGCCCTTTGTGCTGTTTTCTGTGCCCAATAATGTTTGTACCATGTTTTGTGCTGCTACCAGGTTGTGCTGCTGCCATGTTGTGTTGCTACCATGTTGTTGTCATGTGTTGCTACCATGCTGTGTTGTTGTCTTAGGTCTCTCTTTATGTAGTGTTGTGGTGTCTCTCTTGTCTTGATGTGTGTTTTGTCCTACATTTGTATTTTTAATCCCATCTCCCGTCCCCGCAGGAGGCCTTTTGCCTTTTGGTAGGCCGTCATTGTAAATAATAATTTGTTCTTAACTTTTTTTTATTTTATTTTATATTTTTTTT